AGTTTCTGAGTTACCAAGAGTTTTGCAAAGCAAACTATGGGAAGAAATTTGTTTGGTTGTTTGTTTTTTACTGGTTGTACCTATTTCTTCCTTTCTTTTTTTTTCCATTTCTTTTGGTTGTTTTTAAAGAAAAAAAATACCAGGGTTTTTTTTAAATACAGAATGTTTTTTGGGAACATTTCTACACTTCTGGGTATTTTGTGAGCATTTTGTTTGAAACATTGTAGATTTTTCTAGTTCAAGAAAAAAATAGCTATGAAACAGATGCATAAGCTATTTCAAAATAATCCCTCCCGCTACACCGACAGAAAACTGCACTGTTGATTGCCACTGCTTAATATTGTCTCCCACACATTCAGAAAGCCATGATTTCCACAGGACAGTTCACTGAAATGAGGCTTGGCATCCAGATTGCTCACCTGGCTGTAATCACCCTTTGAGTTACTGAGCTTGTAAATCACATATCAAAACAGAGGAACACATCAATTAATGTTCTACTGGAAACAAATCAAGGACAATCTTACAGTGTGACATTCTGCCAGTTTTATTTTCAATAGACATGGGGGAGAAGCTGAAATGTTTGGTCACAGCCTTTATTTACCCAATCTGTCTTATATACCATTGCATAATGGTATCACAATATTAATATGCAAATTGCCACTCCAATAAAAGCTATGCTTTCCCCGTTGATTTTCAGCAGAGCTTCTGTTACAAAGGAAAATACTTAGCACTTAAATTCCTTTTTCATCTTCAAAACTCCTTTAGTACATTTTAATTAATCCTTTTTCTTTCAGTTTTCTGACCCTGCATTAGGTTTTCTGCCTCCTTCACCCCGGTACTCTCAAGGTTACATCCCCCTCTTGATGTCTTCCATAGACTTTTCATGTTTTCAGAAATGATCTTCCTCTCATCTCTCTTTATGCCTAGAAAATAGACCTCGGGAGAATGGCCAGAAGAAAAGCCTAGTCAAGGGCAAAAGAAGTTTCCAAGGTCAAAAAGAAACAAAGGAATTCTTATTCCAGGGAATAACAAACACTGATCCCATCTAACACAGCTGCTGCTTTATCTTAGCAGGTGCCTCAGTCTGGCCTCAGGCAATCTCTGGGGAGGTGACTCCTCTGTAGTGCATCATGCAAGATGCAGTTCAGCTGGCCACAAGGATAGTGTGCCTGGGCATCCAGTCCGAGATGGTAGATGAGAAAATAGCAGTAGCCTCTTGTGGAGAGGAACTTGTCCTCAAAGAGAATTTCTGCTGCAAAGTGTCGTGTGGGAGGCAGAACATGCTTAGGTCCTACGGGAATTTCCCAGCTCACTGGGAAAACATTGATTGGTTTTATAAAAGGAAAACTCTCAGTCCAGATTTATCGCCTTAAACATTGAGCTCCCCCACCCCCTTTTTTTCCCCCCACAGATTCTATTTTCATACATTTAATTATTTTAATATGCCCTGGATTATTTTTACTTACCACATGCTTTATGTAGATGTTTTGATGACAATTTCAAACACTGGACTATTAATGCACACAAGCAATTAAGGTGCTGTGTATGCTTTTGAAGATCAGTCACAAAATGGGCATCACTTCTGACCTACTTAAACTCTAAAACCAGGATTTCATCAGTGCATGGGAAAAATGATTGTCTTTTTCAAAAGGTTACATTTCACTCCCACAGCACAGACGGGTTCATGTAGGACTTGGCAATGCTCTTCCATAAAAAGGGAAAATTCCTGTAGTACTTCTGGAGTCAGTCACCTGCATAACAAAGTAGGTGAAAGGCTTTCTGTACTCGAGGGAGGGAGAACTGGACATTTAAAGCCACGTTTTCTATCATAACTATTGATGAAAATACAGCTCAGATTGTTGTAGTTTTCATATTATATTTTAAGAGTTAGAATATGATAAATGATTGCTACACTTTTCAGTGTATCATCTCGATATACCAAATAAATCTCACAGTTTTTCTCCCCCTGGTAGTTTCAAGTGGTAATAATTTCTAATTTATCAGTAATTGTTTTTATTTTCACTTTATTTTCTGATATGTGTGGGGAGTAAACACTACACACTTCCAGTTACCAGGACATTCTACCTAGATATTTTCGGAATACTTTTTAACCAACAGCATGTGTTGAATGAAGACAGATTTTAGAGATGACTCAAAGGAAACAGGTACTTCATGTGCTAGCTGATATAATATATACTTTGCTCTGTTCTTGTAAATGTGCTGGGCAGTGGATGTGAAAAACTATATTCCAAATGCAGGATACACAGTCATGTTGTTAATTTATAATTCACACAAAATATTAAATTTCTTATTGGGTCTTCATAGAGATGTATGTTTTTAAACCCTTTAGTTCTAAACCAGTATCGCTGGCAGTGTGTTTGTATCTAAAAAATCTGTTAGATTTGTTAGCATAGAAGCTACGCTGGAGACAGACATGGCTTCACATTTAGCTTGCACTGCATGCACTCTGACTTCACTGGACTTTCTAGATTGTGCCAAAACACACAAACTAGGATTAAACTTAAAGGATCAAGTGAGAGCGGGTTGTTAACTTAAGTAATTGATTATTTAAGTAGCTTGGTATCCTCTGAAAACCTTCATGTTCCTCTGTAAGGAGTCATTATTTTGTTTATCTTGTGCTGCTTAGTGTTTGGGGATTTTATATATATAGAAAGATTACCTTTTTCCTCCTTTTAGGGAAAAAACCAAAACAAACCCAACTACTCAACTTACTTCCCTTTACATCTTCTTTAAAAAAAAACATCCCATAATTACTATGGAAACAGCTTTTAACAGGAGTAGCAGTAATTAATAACATCTGCAAATGCAATATGAAGTTTACAACATAATTAATTCCAGCATTTGGAGTGGATTGTACAGAGCTGCCCTTCGTTGCTTTGCATGGAACAGCAGACTGTACAGAACCAATTATAAGAAGGGGGCTTAGCATTACCATAGTGGTATATTATGGCTTGTGAAATAGTTTGGACTATAGAGGCTGTATTAACACATATGAATGAATGACATCATTATTACATAGTGTAATGGCACATGATTCTGGAAAGAATTAGATTTCTATAGATATTGTGGGCAAATGCAAAAATTCCACTTTATACTGTCAGACAACATAAAAATACTCTCTACTGAAATGAGACCAGAGGCTTGAAATGTAACTTTTAAATCCATTCCTTCATTTGAATTATAGAGACATGGGCAGATCATATCTGGAAGTTTACCTACAGATGTTTTCATCTTTTGACTTTTCACTTTAAAAAGTCAAATTGGAATTTTTTAAGAACAACCAATTAAAGATTTTTAATAAATCATGAAAGAGATGCCTTTAGGCTTTATTGGAGAAGGGATATTATAAATATTTATTGTTATTTTGTTATTTCTTAAGTCTACTTGGCATAAAGTCTACCATCTATCCCACCAGCTTCTCTTATTTGAAGTTATGGGTGTACAAAAGATTCAAATTTTCATTAAACCATTTTTGCAGCTGGTGTAAAATGTGTGGCAGAAGCCGTATGATCAGATTGAGCTATACTGTGTTATATAGGAGAGAGCTCTGCCTTCACCCTGAACACAAGTATTGGGTCTTGTGCTCCTAAGCCAGAAGCTGCATGGCCTTTGTTACTTGAGCTAGTAATCTCTGCTTAGGGGCAAAGCATATTAGATGGTGCCTGACCCCAGCTAATGGGGCCACCTGGCTCTGATCCAGCACATGGCAAAGCCATGTCAGCCCACTGTGTGCTCCCTTGGCACACTAAAAGACTTACTTGTCTTGTTTTTACTGTTACAATTCCTAATTTTCCATCTTTTAAAAACACATGGACAAGTGCACATCAGTATGTGTAGACCAAACCTCTATTGGTGTTCTTGTTCCCCTTTTTTCTTCTTTGTTACCCTTCCTACTTACCTGCATCAGTTCCTTCTCAGCATGCAGTTTTCCTTCCCTTTACTATCTCATCTTCCTAATCACTTTTTTCCTCCTCATATTCATTTTCCTGTTTCACTTTACTTTTCCTCATCTCTCTATTTCCTTTTTAAAATTTTATCTTCCTTTTACAATATGCATATATAGCTTCATCCTCATTTCCGCATGCATACCCTTCCTTCTTGATATTTACTTCCCAGTTCTTATTTTTCCTCTATTGTCTTTCATTCTAACTTTTTTTAATCTCCCTTCCCAATATTCCTTCTAAGTTACTTTTGCACTCACTTCTAGTTTACAAAGCAAATCAAACAGGATACCATCTCAACAACGTATTTTAGGACAAGATGAACCATTCTGTGGAGATGCTGGTCTATGCCCATTGACTACAACTGGATAAGACAAAAGGAAACCCTTTTTTCATTTTAGGCAGTCCATATGTATCTCACCAAATGCAGAATGGGAACAGCAATAACTAGGTTTCAAAAGAAGGAAATCTGATAAAGCCCTCCTACTAAGCTTTAGCTTACCCTGTTGAATTTCCAAAAGCAGTGTCTGTGCTTGGATTGCACAACAGCACCCATTCTTTTGCAGGAGTATTGCTAAGTAAAATATCAGCAATAACTTCTGAATGCAGCTTTTGTAACCACCTTGTTAATTAGGTAAGATGAGTTAAGTAAGAATGAGATATTGAGGTGACTTCACTTGGCTGAAAGTGGTTTGCTATGATTATTCTGATTGCCATCTCATAGTGTCTGTTCTCCCCCTCCATTGGGTTAGTGAATCATTTTCAGTCCTATACAGTTGCAAGATACCAGATTTGAGGAGAGTCACATTCCTATGTTTAGAAAAGCACTTACTGGTGTAAGAACGTATCTCACGGGGTGAAAAGATGGGGGAAAAATGTCTGAGTTAGGAAGTGAAAGAAGAAATATCTCTCTCTCTATATATATATATATAGAGAGAGGGTTTCAAGAAAGCACTATATCTGCTCAAAGTCAATGGAAGGGATGGAATAAACTAAGTTAAAATAGATTAGGGGCTAGATAGAAGACAGACAAGGTTGTACAAAAATATTATGTCACTTTATTACAACCTTAACATATGTTATTTTTATAAGACTGATCTTAGAAGTTATATTTCTTTACAAGTTCAGAACATACCACAGTTTAACATTTATAATTGAGAGTTTTCTCCAACAAGATTACTGGTATTTATAGTTTTCTGTGAATAGTGTCATAACATCAATATGAGATTTACAGTGAGCACTTCTACATTACACTGTGAAATACAATACAGTGATTCTTGAACAAATAACTTAATTTTCCTTTGAAACTCAGAAGCATAATAACTATACTAGAATGGACATAGAGCCTTCCAGAACCAAACTAACATCTCCACAAAGTGCTACAGTGATCTTGTGTAGATGTACCAAGACCAGTGATAATTGACTAAACTCTCCATTATGCTTTCTCCTGAAATGGCTGCTGTGATTTAACCCCAGCCAGCAACTCAGCCCCACACAGCCGTTCACTCACTCCTCACCACTTGGATGTGGGAGACAATCTGAAGGGTAAAAGTGAGAAAACAACTTGTGAGTTGAGACAAAGACAGAACAATAGGTAAAGCAAAAACCACACACATCAGGAAAGCAAAATCAACTCTATACCAAGCAAAACCATCACAATGGATGAAGTTTAAGATGCCCAGCAGTTTGTTTTAAGATATTTTTCTTGGTATTCACTGAGAGAATATATGTTATGCTGGACTCCAAGTTTCAATATTAAACTATTCTAAAATTATTGTTGGTTTAATTGCAGTGTCAAAAAACTCAAACAAACAAAAAAACTTTCAGTGTGAAAATGCATACATCCCTGTTCTCATGACTAGAATTAGGATGAATGTTTTCCTAAGATCTGACAATAACAAGAAAAATGTAAACTGCTATATCAGGTAGTGAAAGTTTTGCTACCAGATCCAGCATACTTACTCAAATATGAATAAAAGCAAGGGTGAGAACAAAGCAGTGTTGACTATCTTGCTGCTGGATGTAGGTCACAAAGTTTTTACAATATAAATTATATCAAATTCAAATGTAAAACAATTCATCTTACTTGCAATGGGCTGGGTTCTGCATTTCCATCTGGTGCAGACTTCAATAAGAGCTTTTTTCCTCCTGAAACTAGAAATTGAGATCAGGCTGCCTGCACTCTCTAGTCAGTCCTACAGAAGCAAACAGAATGAGAATTATTCAGTAAGATTACCCCCTTCTGCCTTATATAAAACACAGACATAGAAAAGATACTACATGCCAGGAACAAAATGGTATTTTGGTACGTGGCATTGCTTATCACAGAACCACAGAATCATTTAGGCTGGAAAAGACTCATAAGATCATCTAGTTAAACCATTCAAGCATTGCTAAGTCCACCAGCAAACAATGTCCCTAAGTGCCACCTCTACATATCTTTTAAATACCTTCAGGTGTGGTGACTCCACCACTTCTGTGGGCAGCCTGTTCCAGTGCTTGACAACCTCTTCCATGAAGAAATATTTTCTAATATCCAATCTAAACCCTTGCTCATGCAATTTGAGGCCATTTCGCCTTATCCTATTGCTTGTTACTCATGAGAAGAGACTGACCCTCATCTGTCTACAGTCTCTTTTCAGATAGTTGTAAAGAGTGATAAGGTCTCCCCAAGCCTTCCTTTCTCCAGGTTGAACACCCCCAGCTTGCTCAGCTAATCCTGGTCAGATCTATGCTTTAAAACTTTCTCTAGTTTCATTGCTCTTCTTTGGACATCCATACAGACCATGTCACACTTTGTTACACTGTTTCAGCAAGTACATTTTGGCTGAACCCAATAACATCTGTGGGTTCTGCCTAGCAAAGTTCATGTCACCCCAGCCACAAAGGTGAAATACACTCAGCACACTGCTGATAAGGGTTTTTTGCCTATACCCTCCCCCCTTCCCCACCGGCAAAAGACACTTAAGACACTTCGTAGCTGTGTGCTATCTATTCACACAAGTGCTGCAATCACTGTATATGTTAAGTCTTAAACTGTCATTGATTTCAAAAAGTTTTCTGACAATACTGATTGCTGAAGAGTGAGTTTATATACAGTATAAAACTAGATTAATAAAACTTTGATTCTCATTCTAACCTACCATATTTGGGTGTTTTTTAAAGTAGTTAAGAGACAGAAGACCCTGCTCTCTTGTCTTTTATGCTAGATTTGCAACAGTGTAAATTATTTATGAAAATGTAAAGAATATATCCAGAAATGGAAATAAAAGAGAAAGACTTTTTACTGATAAAATGAACTGAGAGGAAGACTTTGCTGCCAATTAAATTTTGTAGTTTTGCAATAGAAATTTTTATTTCTGAGATACAGACTGCCATGGTCAATTGAAAGATTCCCAGTAATTTAAGTAGAATCATAGAATAGAATAATGGTATCACTTAGGTTGGAAAGGATCTTTAAGATAGAGTCCAACCATAAAGCTAACCCTGCCAAGTCCACCAAGTAGATGCAAAGCAAACTTTCTGTAAGATGCCTCATTATATCAATACCTGTCGCTCCTGTGCTCCTTCACAGAAAGGTCTCGGTCAGATATGACAGGCAATAAATTTAGAATGGGGTGAAGTAAGAATAAAGAAAGATTTACTTTCCTTGTTTGTCATTCAAGACTATATTTTAAAGTGCTTAAAAAAAGGACTTGTCAGGTGTAATAGATCTTTAGGAATCTCAATGCAGATAAACTATAAGAATATCTGCAGGACAACATTGCTGTGATATTCAAGCTATGTATTTAAAATACTGTGACTATGTAAGAAAATGGTTTATTCATCAAAAGTAAAGAAATTGCTTGTTTAGGAGGTTTTAATGGCTTTTTAAAATTTCATGATGAAACTACATTTGTACTTTTTTTTTCCCTGCATTATGGGAGGATGAAGACATTCCAAGAAACTTTATTCTGCTATTTCTATGTTTTAAGTCAATCACACTTTTTTGTTGAAACAAAGTGGGAACTCATTTCAGCCCAATTATTCGTATCCATACATGGTTTTAGGATGAGATCACCATTTCTAAACATTCTGCATCTTTATTAAATATTTGTCATATTAATGAATTTTTAAGCCATAAATAATTAGGTGAAGCAAACGGGTGAATAATTAGTAAACAACACATTGTTCATGGAATAAGTCCTGCTTTCTTTTCTTCCCCATGCTTCAGGGTGGCATTGGTTTCCTAAGTTTCATCTTCAAAAAAGGTAAAAATTCAAGACCTGACTTCCATTCTCACTTCATTTTGCAGGAACACTGTTATTTGAGTCCACCTTTTCTCAAAACTGGGCTCCAGTTCAAGTTTCTTGTAAATCCTGTAAAGCTTGCAGGCTGATCTTGAGTTGTAGATCACAGATCTTCTCATAAATGCCACACCTTGCTAAGCTCCATTTTTCAGCCCTGGCTTCTCCTTCGCATCTCAACCAGCTTGTTTGGACCTTTGTATTTCTTCTCCATTCTGAAGCCACATGTAGACAACTTCTCTCTTTCTTCCCTGACTTTCAGTGAGCTCCACAGGCATTCACTTACAGTGTTCACTGTAGGATTAGTTTGCAGAGGGTCTTGTTATACAGTTTTAAATAGCACAGTAGAATGGAAACTTTGAATATTGCTCTGTTAAAACATAGAAGTATTTTCTCTAGCATCTTTTTCACTTTCCAGCTATTGTTCAGTGTATTAGTACTGAGGAAACAGTCACAATCCAGGCCTTACAGCACTAGGTACCCACCCGTGCATTGCACAGTTCCATTGCTAGCCATGTGTTATTGCTGTTGGAATCATTAGCAGCTATAATTACTGCCCTAAGAAGCTCTATAAGCATCAGAAGTGTAGGTTTACAGAAAGTTATACTAATGATGAAAGAAACGTTCCTGTGTAACCCTCTACTTCTCTATTTATTATTTTGCTTTATCATTCTCTGATCTGGTCTCCTGTATGTTATATTGAAATGGTACATCTGAGTAAGGGTGGTCTAGCTTATTCTCACCTCCTGAAACAATTTTCCATGTGTGTTTGCATAGTCATTTGCACCCCCTCTTGCCCAGACCAACATGTGTTGGTTGCCCACTCTGGTGGGTTCTCTATCAGGAGAGCACCTGTTTCCCAGGTCAGTGTCCCTGGATTGCTGAACAGGCCTCTGGGGGCAACACAGCTGAGAACTGAACATGAACACTTTCTACTGAGAAGAGATGAAACGGGCATATGCTCGATCCTTCAAACAGGTAAGGAGCCAGGTGGGGCATTCCTTTTTATTCTGGAGAGGTGTTGGCAGAGTGTTAGTCCTTCACTGTGTTGCCTACTGTGAGACTGTAGGTGTTTTGGGCCACAACTAAGTGAAAGGCCTTGAGGGGAAGCTGTGTAAGGAGCAGCTGAGGTCACTTGGTCTGTTCAGCCTGGAGGAGACTGAAGGAAGACTCCACTGCAATCACAACTTCCTAGAGAGGAAAAGAGGAGGGGCAGACAATGATCTCTTCTCTGTGGTGACCAGGGACAGGACCCAAGGGAATGGCCTGAAGTTGTGTCAGGTGAGGTTTAGGTTGGATATTAGAAAAAGGTTCTTCATCCAGAGGGTAGTTAGGTGCTGGAACAGGCTCCCCAGGGAAGTGGTCACAGCACCAAAATCTGACAAGAGTTCAAGAAGCATTTGAATGATACACTCAGCACATGGTGTGACACTTGGGGAGTGTCCTGTGCAGGGCCAGGAGTTGGACTCGACAATCCTTGTGGATCCCTTCCAACTCAGGATATTCTGTGATTCTGTGACACTGATAATGCTACCCTTAGTGTGGGAGCCCAAGAATAAGGAGATGCCTTAAATTACACTCTAAGAAGTAAATTTGTCCTGGTCTTGTGTGACCTGAACTAGTTCACATTTCCTCCCTCTTTCCTCCGTGCATGTCTCCAAACCTTTAATCCACTCTCCAACATTTTCTTTCTACCCTGGATCTCATCATGGTACATCCTGTGTGAAGCAGAACTTTCATGTCACAGGCCCATGACTCTGCAGTTGCCTGTTGCATCCCTGTGGGGAAGCAGAAGTACTCAGGTGAGCAGTTACAGCTAAATATGCAAAGTGGTGCCACTTCGGGTGGCAAAACTATAAAGCCTATGGAGACCTACAAAAGCTGGGCTAGAGATACTTTTCAGACTGTTTGAGTCTACAGGCTGCAAAATCATTTTAGAAAATGCTATTTCGGACTTGCATCCAAACCCTGAATCCTACGTACCTACAGGTAGGTGGATAGGTGAAGACAACTGGGAGTTCTTCCCACCAGCCGTCAAGTGCCAGCTCCAATCCAGAAACAATGTAGATGAGTGACTGCATGCTTTACAGATTGCAACTGAAATATCGTGCTGGCTTTGAGCCCGGGCAATGCGAACACTCAATTCTTCATTTGTGGATCTCAGCTTTGATCCTTTTGCCATCTTTAAAATGGAGACGAGCACTCCTCTGTTTTACCGAAATTGTTGTGAGTTAATACATTCGAGATGATGTGACTCTTAAAACAAAGGATGTAAAACCAATATGAATACTGGGTCTGCTCTGTCATTTTCACCTGTTGAACCAATTAAATACATTAAAATATAAATACAGCGCCAGAATTAAATATAAATATGTAAACATATAAAAAGAAATAAAACAAACAAACAAAAAAACAAATCGAAAAGAAAATAAAATTGGTCACTGAACTTTTAACTGCTTTATCAAATAAGCTAAGAATTATTTCCCTGGATTACTTTCTCCATTTGTACTGAGAATGTATAGTTGCCACAGAGACTGCTGTACGTGAATATGGGTAAAACGGGGAGGACGGGAGAGGGAATGTGTCCTCCTGGATTTCCAGAGGGATCTGAGATGACTATCTGGGTTAGCGATGCGGCGGGGCGGGGGCGCAGCCCGAGGACTCCCGGCCATGAGCCCCGGCCGATCCCCGGAGGCTCCGGGGAGCCGGCGGCGATGGGATGGGACCCCGCGGAGGGCGGGGGCGGCGGGGCCGGACCCGCGGGGCCGAGCGGCGCTGCTCCCGCTGGCATTTATAGATACATCTATAAAACATCTATTTAAAGCAAAGCCCAGACTGGCGGCACACGGTCTGTGTGCGGCTGCTGCTGCTGCCGAGCCTGGCAGGAGGGAGCTGGAATTAAAATAAGGCACGAAACGGTTTTAAAAATAGCGTGCGGGCTGCGCGGGGCGGGGCGGTGGCTCCGCGGCCCCGGGGCCGCCCGGCCCGGGGAGTTCCTCGGCGCCTTGTATGGAGCGCGGCCGCCACAGGGCCCGCGCCCGCCCCCGCTCCCCGCCCCGACTTTCCCCGCTGCCGGCACGGAAGGCAGGAGCCGGCAGCAAGCTGCCCGTCTCCCAACTCTCTCCCCTTCTTCCCTCCTCTCCTTTCAGGAGCCACCACCCCGCCTGCCTCTCTCCACCTCCTCCTCCTCTTTCTGCTCTGCAATCAGGGGAATAAATCAGGGACGGACGCTCACACACACACGCGGAGTAGGATCTGTTACAAAAGTAGCGCTGATGGCGGCGGATCAGACGAAGCTGGAGCTGCTGCTGGAGTAGCAGAGAGTGGAGTATCTTTCGCTCTCTCCCTTTTCTCTATTTCGTCTCTTTCCCCACTCCACCCACAGATCTCCATCGTTTCTCCTCCTCCTCCCCACCCTCGGCCGCGCTCTCGCTTCTCCGCGCATCTCTGGGCTGCGCCTCCTGCGAGGGGGCGGGTGGGGGGGGGGGAGCGGAGGAGGCTTTAAAGAACCACGGCCCCCCCGCACCGCCACACACGCGATAATTGAATTTATTATTATTGCCGTCTCGCCGACTTGGGAAAGGGGGATCGATCTTCGATCAGGAAGATGGCTGCTGGCTGGCTGCTGGTCTTTAGCCTGACACTTTTCCAGTCCCTGGTGATGAACCACTCTTCGGAGGGACCGTTCCCCTCAGCCACCACGTAAGTCTTGCCGGGGTCCAGGGGTCCGGGGCGGGGGCGCGGCTGGGGCGGGGGCGCTCCTCGGCGCCGGGGACAGCGACAGTACAAAGGGAAATCAAGTTAGTCCGGGGGAAAGTGGTGGTGGGGGAAAATTGCAGGATTTCGACAGCTTTTGCTTAGGAAAGAGTCAGGCTAGCGGAGGGTCCCGCCGGGGCTGTCACCGCGAGGGGAGAAGCCCCGGTGACGGCCGGCGGCGGGACTTTTGAGATAAAGGCTTCGCCTGGAAAGCCCGCTCCGGAGCGGCTCCCGGCTCCAAATATACCTCGTCAGGTCACCCTTGCCGAGAAGAAAGTTTCGAGTTACAAAGAGTCCGCCCCTTCCTCCCACAGAGGTTATTCCAGCGTGGATGGAGATTTAACACTGTTTACAAAAAAAAAAAAAAAAAAAAAAAAAAAAAAAAAAACCAAACAAAAAACCAAACAAAACCCAAAACCAAAACCAAACAAAAACCCCACAACAAAACCACCAGGAAACTTTCGCAATTTTATTAAAATCCACACAGAAAGGCGGATTTTGTTGCCGTTCCGCGGCCGGCACGTGAGGAGGGCAGGCGGGCAGGGCTGGGAGTTCCGAGCCCGAGCTCCGGCTCCCTCCTGGCTTGGCCGCGCTCCAGTGCATCCACAGGGGCTCCCGGTGCTGCGGGGTCCGGGGGTGCACACGCGTGGGTCCCGCCGAAGGATCTTTTTTTGCTCGCTGAAAGCCACACAACTGAAGAACTGATCTCTTCAGGCTTGGCCTTGCAGATCGTTGTTTCTCAAAAATACCTTCGCGAGAGCTGAGGGATGCTCTCGGTGCACGCAGCTCGGTGCCTCGCCTGGCCCTGAGATGGAAATCTTTGAAGTGCTGCAGAGTTATTAGCATGAAAATGTTGCCCAGAGCAGTGCAAAGATCACATAATAATGATGCAATAAAAGAAAGGCAAAAAGAAGCCGATGTATCATATTGGAGAAAAATCATATCGGGAAAAAAATCCACGACAAAGCACTGTGTTCGTGTTTTCTTCCTTTTTCTTCTCTCTCACCTCATTATTTTTATATTATTTTTGTTTGGTTGTTTTGGGGTTTTTTTTAAGCACTTACCGTAGTCCCCGAATCTGGGTTAAAGCTACCAGTAGGTAACTTTTAAGTGGATGAGTCACTTTAATGCATTTTACATAAGAAAAATAGTGCTAATGGTAGTCTTCCCTCATTGTTTAACGCTGGGTAGAATTTATGACTGTCGTTCATCCTGGGCAGAAGGATGAGTTTACAACAATTATGAGCAATGCATTTTCACCAATTAGTACTGCTGGTAGGCTGTTATAATTGGATTCAGTTCTCAGTATCGGTTCCATTATGAAAGACTCAAAGGGATGCTAGCACTGTTATACGAAAGAAAGGAATACAAAGATAAGTGTAGAATGACCACTTAATATCTTATAAGCTGAATAAATACGGTCTTTTATTGTAGGGAAAATTATCTTTTAAAGTATTTTCTTACTGTTCTTTTAAAATCTTCCGGTTTATAAAGATGTGCCATGTAAAAGCAAGAGTAGCTAAATACAAAGCCCGGGCTTTTTAAGTCATTGCTTTTCTTGTGTTTGAGCTCCTCTATTTATGGTTTCTTATTGAGATGATAAGGTTATCATGCACAACTAATTACAAAATATCTTCTACATAGATTGTGCTGGGTTAAAATGAGAAGGAAATATATAACCCAGTGTATAAAAAGATTATGTATAATTTTAAATAAAAGTCTAGATAGCTTTTTAGGGTAAGATTATGTGATATTTCCATAAAAATTATTTTGTCCCCTGTCCGTTTTTGCGGATTCCCTTCAGAATTTACCTTTACTGCCAGCAATGATAATAGAAATTGTCAGCAATGAAACATATAACTTTAATTATAACTATGATAAAGTAATTCATAGTATGATGTTAGTCATCAACGTTTTCATGCTCTACACAATCTACTTGCTGTTGGCTCTCTTTTTTTCTCATTATTATTCCACTGAAACGTTGTAGAAATAATCTATAGTGCCTGTCCATCCTTCATAGTTATGTTTCCCATTTGAAATGGAATCAAAGTGCAAGCAAGACTTAGTTCATTTACAAGGAAGCACAACAGGTTGATGCAGAGAGAACTGCTTTGCAAAAAGTAATGATGTAACAGGTGAAAGAGAAAACAATTTTTTAATTCTTTTTTAAGCCTTGACAGCACTGTTTCATTTCCTACTATGGATTACAAATGGGAAAGAACAAAGAGAAGTGACGCAAATGCTTTTAATGTGAAAGATATTATATATTAAGAATACTAAAAATATGAAAAAACATGGGAGAAGAGAATAAAAGAAAGAAAGGACATGAATAATTGAAGAACTGAAGGTTTGCTGATGATATGTACTTAGCTACCTGCTTTCTCCCCATTATTTTCAGTCCTTTTTTTCTCTTAGTTAAAAAGTAGCTCTGAGGAAGCAGTATTTCCCAGCTGTTGGGTCAAAAATGTGCATATTCAGGGCTGTATAGTTCATGATTTCTTTAACAACTGCTTTTTGTATAATCACTTTTCTTTCAGTCATCTATTTCTTCTGCATCTATAAATATTTTAACATACGCTTTTACTAAAACATTTAGAAGTATCACTAATACAGTAATATACAAGCGTGAAACATTTGTAGCAAAAAATGTCAAACATTTAAGTAATGCCTGTAGAATCTCAGTAATTTCATTCATTTTACTTCTCTGATAAGGCAGGAACTCTCTGATATATTTACCCAGCAATATATAGAGAATTTCAGGTTTGTGCTGTATGAAATGGGAACCTTAATTTTTCACTGAAGATCTGAGCAGGTGGTATGATCACATTTGTTGTTTCTGGTGTTGGAATATTTCACTGCAAATATTGAAGACTTTAATGAACTATTTAAATATAGCAGTAATTATGTCTTGATCTTTAGCTATGAGGCTTAGCTAGCTGCTGAGTGATGCATATTACGTATCATTAAAATGTATCATTTTCATTGTATCATGTATTAGGTATCTGTCATATGCTGGTACAAGATACCATGTTCTTACTTTTAACACAGCACCTCCAAGTCCTTCAATTACACATACAACACAGCAGATATTTTGCACTTAGATGAGAATATTGTTGTCTATAGTAATGCTGTCACTTTAACCACACTACTGGTATCACAGTACATAAAGTACTTCTTTCTTTGTAGCCATATATATTTATTTATCATAGCATCTATAAAGGCTTCAGAAAAAAACGCACTATTAAGTACATGTAGTTTGTATGTTTCCTGATAACGATAGCACAGGACTCAATTTATTTCTGTTCTTTTCTCTGTACTGCATCAAAACAGATAGTCTTGAGTTTAAATATATGTTGTAGTTCTTAAGTATCCTTTTGGCACAACATGTCTTAGCAGTGTTGATATTGTTACTGATAGTGAGTAATGTACTATATAAAGATACACCTACTGCTTTCTGATAATAAATCTGTACATTAAAAAAACTAAACAGATATTTTAATTTTTATAAACTTAGAGATGAAGCCTTTCAATATCAATGGGACTATTTCTCTAACTACATCATCGTGGTCATGTCTGTTCTTTTTTTTCTTTTCTCTAATTTTCCTCTGCCACTTCTTTTCTCTTTTCCCTTATCTTTTAGCATTTTTTCATCCTCAGTCACCTGTTCTGTATGTATATATTAAATTATACATTATATTCAAGACAGATTTGCCACTTAGATAAATCGGTGTAAAATATTATGTGGATAAAAATGATATAGAGAAGATAAAAATAATATACATATGAACATATATCTGTATGTATACAGGCAAGAAATTTTTTAAAAAGAAGTTATATATTCCCATTTTTCACTTGCTTGAGTCATCCTTACTGTTTCGGTGTCATTAGGACAACTCAGGGAAGTCTGTATGAGTCATACGAATTAGGGCTTGCACAACTGAGACATTCATATTTTTGGTTTCTTCACACGGACCTAACAAGTGTAGGTCCTGCTGAGATTGTGGCTGGGCTTGGAATGCAGCATTGCTTTTGATACAGCATTGGTGACCAGAGATAGAGGGATGACATTTATGATGTGTCCTTTTCATCTGTTTCTACTGTCAGACTTAGGGATTTTGACACATCTCATATATATATAATCTCATTTTTAGCATAAAGTCTGTGATAGAAGAATGCCACTTTTACTGCTGACGTTAATTAGAAAAGACTGGTGCATTAATGGACTGTAAAATATCAGGCTCTTTCTCATTTGCAAATTGTTTTGTTTTTCCAATCTATTTAAAAATCTTCATTATTAGGAAAAAATAATCTACTGAACTGTACCTTCATATCAGTGAATTGGAAAGAGAGCCAAAAGATGTAATCTCCTTATAATCAGGGAAGTACAATATCACCTCTTAGTGTTTTCTCAGCAACACACATCTGAATGCTGAGCATTATGCAAGATGTACAAACCCACTGGTATTTTAAAGAGTGTTGCTCCAATCCATTCTTCTAGTAGAAACATACTGAGGTGTGAAACAGAAACAGCTTGTTGATTGGTGGTGTTTTTTTGGTGGTTTTGTGAGGGGTTTTTGCTGTTTTGTTTGTTTGTTTGCTTGTTTGTTTTTGGTTTTGGTTTTTTTTCTTTTCTTTTTTGTTTTTTTAGTGTCTCTGTACATATTGTGGTAAGAAATGCAAACTATTTGATCCCACAAAACATTTTTCTGTTTTACATATTTTATGATGAAAATTGTGAATCAGTATTTTTTTTTGTTTGTTTGTATCCCACTTAGACATTTATGCTGAAGCCTCAGAATTAACAAATTCTATGGATTTACATTTCATTAAGTACAAAAATTCAGTTGAAAACATCAAAATAGATACTGATCATAAAAGGTGAAATTTCATTGAAATAAATCAGCATTGTAGAGGTTCTTGCCATCTTTCGTTTTGCAGTGATGCTA